TGTATATATATAAGTATAATTATAGTTATAGGTATCAGTATAGTTAAAGGTATAGGTATTATAAAAATTGATACTGCAAGATATTGGTATAGCGGGCACTAGTGCTGTCACGATCCCCTCCGTATCACTGACACTAACACCTGACCTGCCTGCACTACCTGATCTCAGTTACACCTACCTCCGCCCTCAACCACACCCCAACCTCTTCATGCCCGTACCTGTTCTATAAATAGATACCGCAAGATCATCGGTAAAGCGAACAGTGGTGCTGCCAAGATCCCCTCCGCACCGCTTTCGCCAATGCCTGACAAGACTAAAGTCACAGAGCAAGTACGCGCCATGGATGAGGGCGCCCTATCGGCCGGTGCCGAGCCCCCCAAACCTGCGGCCGAGCCTAAAAAGGAAGAGCCTGCGAAAGTGGAAGCCAAGACGGAGGAGCCGAAGGCCAAGGAAGCGGTTGCGCCGCCCAAGGTATGTGGGTGTGAGAGTGGTGGTTGCCATGGTAACGAGTATATGCGAGAGTTGGGATGTCGTCGGTGGTGTGTGACCTGAGCATGTGCTTATATGTAGTTGTGAAATGGTGTTGTCGGGTGCTGTGTATTATCGACACCCCTGCTTAGATATGCAAATCAGATACGGAATGCCAAATATGACTATGCGTGTTTGTTTTGTGAACAATTGGATGTGCAATTGTGGATGGGTGCACGTGAATAAGGTACCGAACCGGGCGAATTTGCATCCCTATCTAGACCTTGTTTTAAACAATTCAAAAAAAAAAACAGAAACGGTTATTTATATAAACCAACTGGGACCGATTTTCAACCTAAATCTTTTGATTTTTTGTAATTTTTTGTAATTATTTTTGGCATATTTTCCACAGATCGAAGAGCCTAAAAAAGAGGTACCTGCGGTTGCGGGTGCGGGTGCTGCTGCCGCTGCAAACAAGGGCACCGGTCCCAAGCCAGGTTAGTTGCCTTTGTCGTTTAATATCACGTTCATGTTCAAGTGTATGTCCTATTCTTTGTTACAGGTGTGGTCGTTGTTTTGCTATTTGTTTTGAGGGCCATGGTCTCGACGTCAGGTCATATATACATGGTTTTGTGTGTTTGAGTTCTTATAGTTTGTATTGAGTGTCATAGTGTGTTTCTGTGCCTTGTGGAGTGTCGATGTCATAACCTGTCATCTACTCGATTAATCGACATGACCATGCCCTATTGTCGTATAGATGAGTAGTTAAGATCAGTGTTGCATAGATGTTGCTTGTGTAGCAAAATCAAGTATGTGTGACTTGTGTTTGCTTATATGTCGTGCGTTTTGGATGACGCTCAATGCATGCCTTGTTCGTGTATTCTTGTCCGATCGAATACATGCGT